CTGTATCTTTGTTACTCGGTTGGCTACAAACGTATGCCATCTAGCCGGTGATGAGTGAATCCATGCCAAAGCCACGGTGCTATCCGTAAAGGCAAATACATTACTTATTTTACAGCGATGAGAATAGCTGTCAATAATTGCTCTCATCAACTTTGCGAGAATCAAGTTACCGCATAATTCTAGTCTTGCCAATGACACGCATCGTAACGGCGCTACTCTGGATTTGGCACAAACAAGCGTAATAGTGAACTTATTTGTTTGTGGAAAATAAACATGTAAATAAACGACACCTCCATAGGCCTTTTCAGATGCATCAGCAAATCCCAATAAGCTAACTATGCACTCTATAACAATGCCAGTATGTCGTGGTATTCTAACATTTTCCAATATTGGCAACTCAGACACGAATCGATGCCAAGCTGCTACAATTTCAGGGCGAGGAGTTTCATCCCAATCTATATTATTAGCCCATAGTGACTTAATGATGAGCTTGGCCCATAGTGTAACAGGAGCTACGAATCCCATTAAGTCCCATATTCTTGCTATAACTGATAAAATATTTCTTTTAGTACATTCGCGGTTCCGTAAATTTACTGTGAATGTGAATACGTCTTCGGCTGGAAGCCAGTTTAGTCCCAGTATTTTTAAATAGCTATCTGGACTAAATTCTATAACTTCGAATTCTCTATGTGAAGAGGGTATCTTAGAAAGAACCTCTGGTGAGTTACTTGAAAACTTTACCAAATCAAAACCACCAGCATGAAACATTTTAATAAGTTGATTAGAAAGTTCGACCGCTGTTTCTTCATTCGCACAGGAAGTAGCCAAATCGTCAGTGAAAACGTCACTGTCAGCTACTGGAGCCGCGAGAGGAAATTGTGATCCCTCGTCCGTCACTAACTGGCGCACAGTCCTGATCGCAAGGAACGGACTACAACACAAACCGAATGGCACACGTGTGAATTCGTAAAGTTTTATCTCCTCGCTTGGATCAAAGCGATACAACATTCTCAGGAATTTCCTATCTTCGTCCTTTACTAAAATCCT